CGTGCCCCACAGGCGCACTGGGGGTTGTATAAACTGTACGGCCATATTTTGTCTCAGCGCTATGTCCCATTATTAATCTTGTATTTAATAATGATGTTGGTATGGGTGGAAGTTATGGGGAGGGGATTAAATCCAAAAATGCAATGTATTTAAAACACAAACGAATATTTGTCCGCTCCTAGCAACTTCTTGACCTTCTACATCGATGTCACCATGGTTGATGGTTCAGCTCATCTGTAAATCCGTTGTCTCTTTGATTAGTTGTTGACATCCGATCAACATTTACAGTGAATTGTCACTATCTAGTGTTAGACGAATACGACTTGACTTGACTTTCCACAATAGTATGATATTGTCTAACTTTCTAACTTGAGTATGAGCTCTCATAGCTTGGGTTTCTAAAAGGCCTCACAACCTTTTTTTTTTTTTATTAAACATTTTGGAGCATTAACTCCCTCCTTTAATGTCATAGCAATTTTTAACATTTCATACATGCTACAGCTGGTGATGATTTTAGAGCGTAGGAACCGACCGCTACTGTCTTAGAAGGATCGCCCCCGTGATTATAGCGTCTTCCCAAGCCGAGCCGAAGCTGCTCAGCTATTCGGCGGCTTATAATTTGAACAGTTAAAATTGGACCCCACATCTTTAAATCTCAAATTTTGGCGTTAGCGACCGAGTCAAACATTTGTTTATAATTTTTTAATCAAAAGAAAAAGGAAAAAAAAAAAAAAACACGAAAAAGAAAAAAAAAGGGGATGGGGTTAAATAAATTTAAACCATCCCCATAAATTCGCACGCTCGCTGTAGTCTCCTGCCTCTGCCGCTCACTTCTTTCAAGTTTCTTCACTCTTTTCTGTCTGTCTGTCTCTCTCTCTCTCTCTTCATTTCAAAAACTCTCACTCTCAGACTCAGTCTCAAACTGAAATCCTCTTGTTCCGGCGATTCTGTCGGACTGCCGGACTCACGATTCCGTCGCCAGAATCATGACTGTGTTCTCCGGAAAACAGGTCTTTCCGTTGAACTTCGAGGCGGAGGTCTCTCAGAGGCTCATTGAAGCTTCCCACTCTGGAGATCTCAAATCGGCTCTCGACTGCATTTCCAATCCTTGCGTCGACGTTAACTTCGTTGGCGCTGTGCATCTCAAGAACAGGAAGACTGAGTTGGTGCTTAGTGATGAATCCGCCTCGCAAGTTCGCGTTGAGTATGATGAGTTCAAAACTGATGTCACGGCATTGTTCGTCGCCGTTCACACTGGAAATGTGGTTCTCGTGAAGAAATTACTGGTGCGTCTTTTTTTAAATTTGCATTCTGTTGATGATTACTTTCGCTGAGATTTGAATTGTTTTGTTCCTACAGATTTGCATCTGTTCCTGAGTATTTAATGACTTGTTTTTTTCAAAAAATATGTGCACGTTTTTCATCGTTGATTTTCTGGCATCTCTGAGTTGTTTGTATTTTTTTACTCGGTGGCATTAAGTTTCCTCAGCATCAGTGTCGCGATTTCAATGATTTGAATCTTCGATGCATTTCATCGAGAAGTGCTTGTTGACTTTCAAATCCGGAGATTTCTAGTTTCAGATAATCTTGTCCTGAGTCTTCTTGTACTATCACATTGATTTTCTCGTTTCGAACTTCGGTGTTTAGATCGGTTTTTTTGTGCTGAACTGAAATGTTTGCTCGTTTCCTCCATACGAGGTCGCCGATTACTCTCTCAGTAATTGCCGAACCATTAACTTTCTCAGACTTCATGTTTTCGTGGTTTCTTTTCTAATTTCTTTATAATATTTTCGATTTGCAATAGTGACAGTTTTTCTTTACTGATATTTTTACAACTTTACTATTGCTGTATGTTCATTCCGTATATCGTATACTTGCATTTTCCGTCGTCCAAAAGATTGTGGAATTTGATGATTACGGGTGTGTGCGCGCGTTTGGGGTGACAAAATTACACAGATATGTAATTTATATTCTATTAAAGTATATTTTTTGTAACCGGTCTTTAAAAGCCATATTCAATTATCATACAGCTGTTATTTTGGCTTTTCTGTAATGACTGTTACTTAATCAAAGTTCCACGCTGTTATGCCTACGTATCACATCGGACATTCTTCTGTTTCTATCTCTTCTGCATAGTCATTCGCATTCTGTAATTTTAGGGAAAAAGCGAAGTTTCTAAAATGATCATATCATGATTCAACAATTAATAGCAATGAGTTCGTAGAATGCCGATGTCAAACGCCTTCTTGTAAAATCTTATCATTGGATTCCGTCTAAGACTTGAGTTCAATTTGAATGTTAGGGCGTTGGAGCTGATGTGAACCAGAAACTATTCAGGGGATTTGCAACGACAGCAGCAGTGAGGGAGGGCCATCTTGAGATACTCGAGATCTTGCTCAAGGCTGGGGCATCTCAGCCAGCTTGCGAGGAAGCTCTTTTGGAGTCAAGTTGCCATGGACATGCAAGGTCTGCAGAGTTGCTCATGGGATCAGATTTGGTTCGACCCCACATTGCAGTTCACGCCCTTGTTACTGCATGCTGCAGGGGTTTTGTTGATGTGGTGGACACACTTTTAAAGGTACTTCCATATTCATTTGCTAATAAGTAATATTAATAACATCAACAACTTCGTTTGGTTGTGAGAGTTTCGAGGGTTGGGTTTCTTCCCCATCTTTAGACAATAATGCTCTGTGCGGCTGGTAGTACAGTTCCTTATTTCTCTGATAGAATTAATTCGATGGTGGGCCGGAGCAACTTCATTAATTGGTCTGGGGAATTCAGATGGGTTTTCTTTACAATATCTGTTCTGATGCAATCTTGACTTCATTTTTCTGGTGACAGTGTGGTGTGGATGCAAATGCAACCGCCAGAGTGTTACTCCAGTCCTCTAAGCCTTCTCTCCATACAAATGTCAACTGTACAGCACTAGTCGCTGCAGTTGTTAGTCGAAAGATCTCGATTGTTCGTTTTCTTCTTCAGGTGATTTTCTCAACCTCGAGGAAAAATGAAGATGGCACATGCAAGGATCTTTTTCTCCCTCTTTTCCTTAATTTTAACACTTCTGCACTGCATGTCAAATCCCTGATGTTTTCAATGGGAAACAGGCTGGAGCTCGGATTGATATTAGCGTAAGGTTGGGAGCATGGTCTTGGGATATGGATACTGGAGAGGAGTTCCGAGTAGGTGCAGGATTGGCAGAGCCTTATGATGTTACCTGGTGTGCAGTGGAGTATTTTGAAGGCAGTGGTGCTATCTTGCGCATGCTTCTTCAACATACGTCACCCAATGTTCTTCACTATGGAAGAACTCTCATCCATCATGCTATTCTTTGTGGCAATGCAGCAGCTGTTGATGTCCTTTCTAAATGCGGGGCTGACGTTGAATTCCCTGTCAAAGCAACCGGAAATGCAGAATTTCGTCCGCTACACATGGCTGCTCGATTGGGGATGTCAGCAGTAATGAAATGTCTCATTGATGCTGGCTGTGATCTAAACACAAAGACAGATTCAGGGGATACGGCACTTATGATATGTGCAAAACACAAGTATGAAGAATGTCTAAAAGTATTGGGTGCAGCTGGTGCCGACTTTGGCTTAGTTAATGTAGCTGGTCAGTCCGTGTGTTCAATTGCTGGCTCAAATCAATGGTCCCTTGGTTTTCAAAGAACGGTGACTGATTTGATAAAGTCTGGAAAAAGACCAATTTCCAGCAATATGTCTGTCTTCTGTCCACTTATCTTAGCAGCTCAAAGTGGTGATACTGAAGCCTTGAAAGTTTTGATTGGCTGGGGAGGATATGATCTAGATTACCAGGACGATCATGGTTTTACAGCAGCCATGGTTGCGGCTTCAAATGGTCATGCTGAAGCTTTCCGGCTGCTTGTTTATGCTGGTGCTGATGTAAGGCTGAGCAATAAATCTGGTGAAACAGCAATCACTTTGTATCAGTTGCACCCAAATCACGACCAATTCGAGAAGGTGATGCTTGAATTCGCCCTCGACATGGGCAGCCGTAATGCGGCCGGTTTCTATGCCTTGCATTGTGCTGCAAGACGTGGAGACTTGGACGCAGTGAAGTTTTTGACGAATAAAAGCTTTGATGTAAATGTTGTAGACAGTGATGGCTACACTCCACTCATGTTAGCTGCAAGGGGTGGGCATGGATCAGTGTGTAAACTTCTGTTATCTCATGGCGCCCATGCAGATATACGAAGTCCAAGAGGCGAAACTGCACTCTCTCTTGCAAGAAAAAACAAGAAGAGTGAAGCAGAAGAAGTGATACTAGACGAGCTAGCACGTGGGCTGACGTTACATGGTGCTCATGTAAAGAAACACACCAGAGGAGGAAAAGGAAGCCCGCATGGGAAAGAGTTGAGAATGATAGGAAGCATGGGAATGTTACAGTGGGGGAAGTCGAGCAGACGAAATGTTGTCTGCCGAGATGTCGAGGTTGGATCGAGCCCGAGATTCATGAAGAACAGGCTTAAGAAGGGAGATGGTAGTGAACCAGGATTATTCAGGATAGTGACTGTGAAGAACAAGGAGGTGCATTTTGTATGTGAAGGCGGAAGTGAAATGGCAGAGTTGTGGGTGAGGGGCATTAAGCTAGTAACTAAAGAGGCCATGAAGATTGGCTGTATATAAAGCGGTGTTGTTTCTTAAGGTGTACTTCATCTCGAGGTATATATTCTTATTTTCCCGTTTAGAATCAAGGTAAGCAGTTGCTGTAAATGCTCCATCGCGTATTATAATGGTTAGAGTTTCACCTCTTCTTAAGGCATTTTCTCTTTCCCCTTCAACGTCGTCTGAATATCTTCTGGACAAGTGGTCCATCAGTCGTCTTTCAAATTTCAAACTTTCAAAATTAACTTTTTTTTACCTCAAAATTTGAAAACTCGGTTCGGACTTCAAAACCATTTTTATGCTAGAAAAAACAGAAAAAAGTTGGTAACTTTTGATGCCTCTCTTTTCGAGTTGGGAGAATTCAAACCCTAATACTTGTTGCCACATGTGAATCCATTCAGGTGAAAATAACACCCACAGAATTTCATTTGGATTGCGTCTATGTTTCCAAATATGACAGAATTTTCACTTGTTGGTCTATAATAGAATTTAAATTAATCTGTCAAAATTGAGAAGGAGATAATCTTTTCCAAATATTCAACCTCCAGTGATCTCCTTCTCCTTAGCCTTGCAGAGGTCTTCAGCTGACTTGATAAACTTCTTGGTCAATTCATCTACCTGGAAGAAGAAACGTAACAAGATTTTAATAAATAAAAAAGCAAGTTTCAAATTTGAACTATGATTTGATTAGGTAACAACCAACGTCTACAACAACTCACTTCCTTTTCCAATCTTTTCATGTCATCCTTCGGGTAGCTTGAGCTCATCTTTTTTACTGTATCCATTGCCTGCGAATCAACCACCAATCAACTCATAACTCTGAAATAATGCAAATAATGCAAATATCAAATAAAGAGCTTAAATTGCTTTTGCAGGCTGATTCAACTTGTCATGCATAAAATCAGGGCATCGATTTTGAAACTGGGAATGCGCAGAGTGTCGGTTGTAATTGATTATAAGTCACAATTGGAAAAGGAATAGGGTTTAGTAAGAGGGGAGATTTGCGATTCAGAGGTGAATTTGTCCAGATGACTATAGAAATCCTGACATTCCCACAACTATTGAGCTTACCACACTAGGTACATCATGTATCGATAAGAACAGCCCCCTTGATGATTAAGTACAGAGATTTCTGAAAAGGAAATTCACAGCAGGACGGTACAACTAAAAATACCTTTTGACGAGCTCGTCGTATGCTTTGTCTGGAATCTTCACAACACTTGGTGACCAGCTTACACATAGCCTAGAAAAATATCCACCATGAAGTCATATAAAGAAGGAAGGTGATAAGTTGATAACAAGGAGGGATGAAAAAAGACTTGAGGACTTACCTGGATATGCTCTTTGGTCAATCTGGTACAGCAAGAACAAAAAGGAAAATTTTATTAGTAAAAGAACAGCTTCTAGACAACTATTTTGTCCTGATAATTCTTAGAGCCACATTTCAACAGTCACATTAACTTGAGTGGAAGAACAAATGAAAGCTTACGGTGGAATGACTGCAATTAACCTCTCTCCATCTACTCTTGGTGCTAAACCTAGAGGAGATGAAACTATAGCACTCTCTAAGTTCTTCAGTGTCTGCATAGAACAGTAACTATCATAAGTAGCCCTCTCAGATTAGCCTTTTCAAGTATGAATTCTCATGCTAGGTAGAGTAGAAACAAGAATCTTATTAAGATAATGATCTAATAAAACATAACTTAAAAGAATATATATTCAAGATTTACTCTGTTAAGTCTCTTTATCACAAATAATCACGAATCTAAGAAATTAACATGCCATGAAGAAGAAAACACAATAAATTAAAGAACAATAGGGTTTTGCAAGTTGATTACATTAGGATCATAAGGATTTATTGACAGTGTTTTTGAATCCAAGACCGAAACAGCTGCGATCTGATTCAGCGGCATCCTCACACCTGAGATTTCTACTATAATGTGGTCAAGCATTCCTGTAAATACAAAGTATAAGAAAGTGTGAGCAATCAAAAGGCCAAGCTAACATAATGGAACCTCGAAGTGTAAATGGTACATAATATGATGGTAAACATACCAGATGATGCCCTTCCTGTTCGAAGTTTGCTCAATTCTCCTGATAATGCAGCTATCGCAGCCTCCATTTGTGAGCTAGCGTTTGCTTTAATAGTTGGTCTAATATCAGGTAATGCTTCAGCCATACTTGTAGAAGATTCGTCTTCTCAATGCAAAAATAAAAAACCGGAACTTGTAAGAAGCAGGAGGGACATGAACAATATACTCAACAAGATTAAGAGAAAAGTCGAAACGGCAACGAAAATTTGAAGCCAATGCAACAAATTTTCGATTTCATGAGAAATAATGATTTGAAGATCAAGCATAACAAGAGATGAAAAGACGGTTACTTGATTTTCGGCCTTTAGCAAATCCCCGACGACTTTCTCGGATGAAATCTGCAGGAGGAAGAGCAAAGACTCCAGGCATCTCGGAGGTCCATGGGTTACAGAGATCGTTAACGAAGAAGGAAAAGTTACGACTTGGATTGGCAAAATTTCGGAGAAGAAGGAAACTTCTGTAGAAGAAAGAACGTTTCAGAAACATAGCCATTGAACTAGACCGTCGTGCTCGAACGGATCGAAAGCCCGGACTTATTTGATCCTATCGATGCTTGCTAAGCTTTCTAACTAGGGTTTTTCGTAAAACCCAACGATGGAGATTTAGAAAACCCCTTTTTTATTTTATTTTATTTTATTTTTTTAAATCCAGATAAAATAGAAAAAAAAAATGTAATTATATTTTCTTTCTATTCCACCTATTCTTTATATTTTAAATATTCATGTCCGGATATAATTTTTTAAAATAATTTTACTTTAATTAAAATTTACTTTTGTTTTGTAGATTTATTCTCACTTTTTTTTTAAAGATCAAATGGATCGACAAGTTCTAGCTACAAATTTCTCGTGCCCGTTCAAGTTTCCTCTCTTTTATTTGGAGGTTCGGTTCACCTATTGAATTTTATCAGAGTTGAATTTTTGTAAATTATCTGAACACTCATTTTCTTACCATGGTAAAATTTAAAATAAAACTTAAATTAGTTGTAATAACTATTTTTTTCCCTTATAAAAAATAGAAAGACTAATTTTAAATCATAAAAAAAAAACAAAAATGTTATTTTTTTGTATTAACATTAAAATGTTTATTGGATAAATACGAGGATATTAGAAATAAAAAGAGAAAAGTGGGCGTATCCGTATATGATTGTGAGCTACGGAAGCACATCCAAATAAAAAACCGTCGCTTGCCGTCGGTTGAGTTCCACCCCTCAATTTATCCAATTTCCTTTTTATTCCCAAAATTTTTCAAAATTTCCTTTCCGGACACATTTTCCATTTCAGATTCTTACCTCCCAAGCTTCCTTTATTCATTTCGGGCTCGGGTTGGGTTAAAAGCTTCTTCTTCTTCTTCTTCTTCTTCTTCTTCTTCTTCTTTGCATGAAAGTTCTGCACTCTCTGCGCATTTGAATTCCAGACCCGAAAGCTTCCTTACCCTCTGCCTTTCTGCGGCGCAAAATACAATTCGTCAGAGTTATGTTCCACTCACACTGCACTCTTTCGAGGAAAGGCCCTTCAGGTGCCATTTGGGTCGCTGCTTACTTCTTCAAAAAGCTTAAGAAATCTCTGGTTATAGAGACTGATATTCCATCCTCTGTTGGTTCGCCTTCCTCTTTCTTCAAGTCTTTAAATTTTATTCCCATTTTTCGTATATGCATTTGGGATTTGGAGATAACGAGAATGTGTCCCATTATCGAGTCGTTTACTGAAGTGATTCCAGTGCGCCTGGTTTTAGGCTTATGGAGTTGCTTCATAGCGTTTAAATGATTATATTTCCTAACATATTGTGAATATATGTAGTTTTCTGTTGCCAATTTTTGAAAGTAGGACCCTGGAAACCTTCTCGTAATCGTAGTGCATTTGTGATTTTGATTCTTGTTGTTTGTTTATGAAATCCATTATCGTAAAAGAGTCCATTTAGTGAGGGAATTACCTGTTTGATTGAGTTTCTGAGATTTAATTTTATAATTGGTTTGGATTTCTGCTTTTACAGATCATCCGAGGGTTACCTTCTTCCTAGAAAAACCTAAAACGTAAATAGACGACCGGTTGGAGTGTTCTTACAATCTATTTCGTTTTTTTTTTGGTAATACTGTTCATTTTTTAAAAAGATTAGGAATTTATGCGTGAAAACAATTGCGGCTGTGTGCACTTTGTGTAGAAGAACGAGTAATGTCGTTTGAATATGAAAGTGTCCAAAAGTGGTCCGCCATGAACTTGGAGGTCTTATGAGTTGCTTTCCAGCTTGTTTTTTATAAAACTTTTTAAAATTTGGGAAAACAGTGATTAGATAGATGGCAATCCTTCAAAAGCTCATCAAGTTTAATGGAAGAACAGCTTCTATTGATTTGGAAAAGAAAGCTTCCACAACAACAAAACATGGGGGAAACAACTTCTAGAAACAAATGTCAAATAATCTTGTGATTCCACTATCGAGAGGTTTGATAGTCTGAGAGGTTTGATAGTCTAAGAACAGTCGAGTTGTCTGGAGAGCTTAGCTAGAATGAATGTGTGATTTCCAAGTGATAGCAAAAGGAGTAATTGGATCTATCTATATGTATAGAACTCAGGCATAGCCATATATGGAATACCTATCCCAAATGTGAGAATCCTACATTGGTTGGGGAGAAGAACGAAACACCCTTTATAAGGGTGTGGAAACCTTTCCCTAGTAGACGCGTTTTAAAGGCTTGAGGGGAAGTCCGAAAGGGAAAACTCAAAGAGGACAATATCTGCTAGCGGTGGGCTTGGGCTGTTACACCAAATGACTGTTAAGGGCTCTATTTGTAACTATCGTTTTCTACTCTCAGTTTCGATCACCATTGCCCCTCTATCCTGTACATGTTTCTGTGTGTTGGTAAATTTTACTAGATGAGTTAAATGTTGCATGAAGGTAGAGTATAGTTCTTTCATTATTAATTGAAAAAACTGATGCCCTTTTTACTGTGATTCATAATCTGTACTAATTTCTAGTTCATTCCCAGTTTTTTCTGCTTCAAAATGATCTGCTTTTTGATACTTTCTTTTCAAACTGAAATTGCATATGCACACATTTCCTCTTCTCATTTACTTGCTGTTACTTCTATTTTCTATGGGTTCTGATCGCTCTTTCCTCTCTGTCCTGTATTTGTTGCCTGTTTGTAGATAAAATTTTGCAAGATGAAATGAATGCTGTGACATATAGAGTAATGGCCTACCTCCTCCTCGGCATTGCCCGGATATATTCCAAAAAAGTTGAATATCTGTATGTTGACTGCAATAAAGTGCTGACTGAAATCAATGAGTTTGTGGTCAGCACAAAGAATAGTGGTAGAAAGGAAAAGCAAACACCTTATTATGCTATTACCCTTCCTAAAAGATTTGAACTCGACTCATTTGATCTGGGGATTCTTGAGGACCTTACTGGGTAGGTTATCTAGTTTGGTTAATCTCTCTGTTTGACTTATTTTATTTATCTTTTATTATAATTATTTGTAACTCGATGTTCCTTCGTTTTTTTAGAAGTAACATGGTATGTCATGAAGAGATTACCCTCAAAGGTATGGTGTTTACTTTACGTTTTTCTGCTAATACATATTTTCTTCTAACAATTCTATTCTGCATGTCATATAATTTATGCAGATAGCATGTGGAAAAATGACATCACACTGTCAATTGACGAGGTAAGTGTTTCATCATGTTTAGCGCTTAAACGAGTCAGACTAAATTCATTTGATTTTGGTTTGTAAATAGCTATTAAAGTCAATTTAAGAGTTCAGCTTTAAAAGTTCAAACTTTATCAACGTGCATAGTGTTGGAAATTTTATCTTACACTGTTGCAGAATCATGGCGAGGAATTCACTCCACTGCACAGTATTTGCTATTCTGATGATACCTTATTCAAAGAGTATGTAGGCCAAGCTCCACTGTTACTTCCTTAACTTCAATATTCAATTTTCATTCTATGCAGGGTGATCATTTTTTTAATATTCTTATTGCTCCAGAGTCTTTTCGCCTCACCTCAAGGACAGTGAGATGCAGGCAAGCTCATTACATCACGATATTGTGTCAGAAAATTTTCAAGTGAGTGCATTCTCTGATGAAAATTATGAGATTGAGGTATTTGGAACTGGGAATATGCATATCAAAGCAACCGAACAATTTAATGAAGATCGTCGATCTGATGAAGAGGAGATGAAGAAGGAGAAAATGCTGCAATATGAAAATGTAGTTCCTGAAGCAAGCACTGAAATGGTTTTGACTGATAGATTTTCTCATGAAGAAACTGTAATTGTCAAGGAAGTTTCTATAACAGAGAAAGAATATTCAGAGCATTTGAAATTATCTGAAGAAGATAATCAGAGTGTGGGAATTCGATCAGAAAATGAACTTGAGTTCATGAACGGAGACGATAACATCAGCACCTCAGAAAGAAGCATGGAGAAACTTAGAGATAACTCTGCAACTCATGTGGATAGCATGGATATCAACGTGTCTTGGAGTGCACAGAATGAACCTACAAAACTTATTGGAACGGATAGTGAAGGGGTTAATATGAATTTTCTTGAAATGCAATCACCTGAAATGGAAGACCGTGATGGAACTCGAAACAGTCTTCAACTATCTATTTCACTCGATGGAATGTTTGATTCCAAATTTCCAGATTTTACAGGTGGGTAAAATTTCTGAACCAACTTCCATCATTTAAATGATTTATCTACAATTTTGTGTTCTCTTGACTACTTAAAACCCGTGTTAATCTGTTTTTTTTCATGTAGGTACCAAGACACCTGAGTTTACAACAATTTCGACTCCAGCTAATAAGGAGAGACCGAGGACATCAAGGAAGAGAAAATGCATTGTTGATGATCCTATTGTTTTGTCGAACGAGTAAGTTCCTTCGTAGTTTTGTTTCGAATAGATTTGTTGGTGAATTGTTATCTTCTTTCGAGACACAAATGAGATAACATGTTGCTAAAACTGTATCAGAAAATTTAAGCGAAGCATATATGATGCCAGCAACTTGGTTTCAAAAAGAAGCAAATGTCCTCGTAGTGGTCTTGCTGTCTGGAAAGCTAGTCAAATTTCTAGTCTCTCCTTTGGCTTCTCAGTGCCTCTGATGTCCTGTAAGTCTATGAGGCTCTTGAGTGGGTTCTTTGAAAATCATATTTGATCTAAAAGCAAAAAAGTATTAAATTTTAATTTGTCCTCTGATGATGTTTTTCTACAGGTGTTTCGCCCGAGCTTAAGTCCCTTCTTTCTAAGACGTTAGTGAACATATCTGAATCTGCTGAATTGGTGAAATCTCATGAAAACTTGGATGATCCAAGTTCTCCAGCTTTTGACATGTTAGTGAAAATGGATAGCCCGGTCACAGTTTCCAAAACTGGAGAGCATTCAAATGAACCAGAGATTTCTGGATCTCCCACTACCTACAGATCTGAACAAACCACCACTTTTGTGGATAGAGCTTCAGTTTTTGAAGCTTCTGTCCTGGAACAGTTGTCTACATCAGAACCTCAAACTTCAGATAGACTCGAGCAAATAGCAATAGCACCCGGGACACCTGTTCGGTGCTCAACATCAGCTAGATTATTTGGGAGTCCAGATAGCCCTAAAGTTCCTAACTCGAAAGCAGTAAGGCTTGTTAACTTTTTGGGAAATGTATTCAATATATTTTGTTGATCCCAATTTTCGTCGTTTGTTCAGCAGCTAAGGTTTTATGAAGAGGATGCACTGGAGCCGGGCAGCCCTGCGAGAACAAGGTAAGGTGGATTGGATTCGAGTTTCTGAACTGCTCTTACATTTCATTCCCACTTGGTGTTGAGTTGTGAGAGCTGTGATGATGGTACAGAATGTTAGGCGGGTATCTTCTCCAAAATTTTAGAAATCAAAGGGGGCAAACTGTGGAAGAGGCTGCAAATTTGAGACAGCTTCTAAGCAGGAAAACGAGAAAAGAGAGTGCTAAAGTATTCTATGAGATATTGGTATGTTTGTTTGTTTGTTTTGATGTTGTTGTTAGCAAAAGTAAGCATAATTGGGGTGTCTCATATACAAATATGGTACGTAGTGCAGGTACTGAAAACCAAAAACTGCGTGGATGTGAAACAAGATTGTGCGTACGGTGACATCTTTGTATGGAAATTGGGAAACTGGGACACAGAGGCCAGTTTTGATGTAGAGTAGAGTAGAGTAGGTGATGAGTTTTAGGTGGTGTTGAAGGGGCGTGAGGCTAGTTTTGATGTACAGTAAGTTCCATGAGTTAGCAGCAGCAGCAGCAGCAGCAGCAGCAGCAGCAGCCTGTGCAGGTGTAATTTTGGTGTTGTAATAGATGATCTTTTGATGAATGGTTTATATCAGACAGAAGTGGAACCAAAGCGTTTGGCTCGGATTCAGCACACTATTTGGACACTTTTTGCTCGCTTATTAAACCCAGTGGGATGCTGTTATTAAGCTGAAGAAATCTCGAAGAATAACATCTATTTTTACAACCGTAATAATAATAATAATAATAATAATAATAATAATAATAATAATATGTTTTTATCATTACGCTCCCATGTAATTATATTTTATGTAACAATTTTAATTTTATTATATATTTATGTCTAAAAAATTAAGATTTTTCTCCAAAATAAATATTTGCTGGCTGCCGCAGCTTCACCCACGCACCAACTGTTTTCTTTCGTTTCTCATATCTTCGTTTCTGCTGCTGCCGTTGCTAGTCGCCGGTCGTCGGTACGCCCCCACCGCCACGTTTTTTTCTTCTCTTCTTATATCCTTCCCTGCCGCAACCTCACGCCACCATGGGTCAGTTTTCTATAGCACCCCTCCATCTTTCGATTGTTGCTATCGAAGTCTGTCCGGAACCTTTTTTTTTTTTTTTTTCTTGGATTCAATCGACATCAAAATAGGGTAAAATTGAGATTAGGCCAATTTTAGTTTAAAATCCTGTCAAACCCGACTTATTTTGGATGGAAAACTTTTGGATCAAAGCAAGATCTCATATCATTTTGGATTTCAAATTCTATTTTTCTATTCATACCAAACAGAAGTGCCTTCTAAATCCAGGGTTTCCTAACAGAGGCTAAGTTCGAGGAAATTCTACTGAAGGTTGGGTGATAGGCGAAAATGTCAGATGCATTTGTGGAAGCAGATAATGCAGAAGCCATAATCACTAGAATTGAGCACAAATCTCGGAAGATCGAGAGCTTACTTAAACAGTAATGATCTCTATATCTGCTTTTTGATTTCTAAGATCTAAATATGTTTAGCTCCTCCTAACTTCCATTTTTAATAATTGAAAATGCCTCGATTAGCAATTTGTTTACTCGTTCAGGTCTAAAACAGTCGAAGCTCTAAAAACTGCCCTCGAAGGTTCGCCTCCGAATACACGAGATGAGCGCTGCAAGGTATCCTTTATTTCATTTATGAAATCTTGTATGCTTCGTTATTGTTTTTCTACATCATGTTCTTTTTTCCTTGCAAGATCTAATAAGTTTTTGTGTTCATTATTATTAAATTTGTGGGTGATCTTTAGAAGTCCATAGGCAATTACGGTAGGTTCTCTGCTATTGGATGATAGTCATTTTCAATTATCGTTATCTTTTTTGAATGCTTTTCCTGTATTATCTTGATGATGGGGTCAATTAGAACTTGCTGGTAGTTGATATATTTTTCGGAAGTGGTCTGCTCCATTTGCTTGCAGCTGCTCAAAATGAATGGACGTGTTATATTTTACGTTTACATGTTGTCGGTCTGCCTGAATTGGGCGAGAATTGAATAAATCTGATGTGATTTTTTGGACTTCTGCAGTCAGCAAATTGGATTGTGGTGCATAGGGCTCTTATGGCTATAAAGGACGTAGATGGGATGTTTTCTTCGCTGGATCCGGAGTATTATGATATCCTAATGAAGTGAGTTCTTATGGTATTTAACTGCTAAGATGTCTATATTCCTATTGCTTCGATTATCTTTATGCGTATGAAGCTGGTTATTCTTTTTATTTATTTATTTATTTATTTTTAATCTTTAACAAATGTTGAACTTCTAGCTCTGCTAAGATATGTTCATGTCGATAGGAGGTTGAAAGAAAAAATGATATGTCCACATTGATAGGGATTGTGTTAGTCCCTAGTGCTTGGATGATTGGATGGCTGATCTTCATAACCGTTTAGCTAGAAATACCTCGTCACATCTTCTTAAGTTAGAAGGTCACAACCAGCCTTTCTCTCAATACACAGCAGCACTTCATTCCACTGATGTCTGCCCCTTATTTGTCTCCCACATTAAGTTCTGAAGTTTTACAGAATTTTGCTAATATTTTGTTAAGGGCATGTTTGGAATAACTTTCGAAGAAGTCATCCTAAACACTGATAAGAAATAAGTATGGGCCCTTGCCAACCCTGATTGCACTACGAAGTTAAAATTATACAGTCCCGGTCAGGTTTCTTGAGATTATTTTGGGGTTAAAATTCCAGCATGAGAGCATAGAATTTTGGGGAGTGGTACAAACCAAATAACTATATCAATATTATGTAGAATGAAGAAATGAAAAAGGGCTAGTATTTTAGGAACTTTGAACCTTCTTCTTGAGTTCTTTTTTTTCAAGCTTAAACCAACTAAACTATTACCTACTTCAATCTCCTTCCCCTCCTAAAAAACCTCCTAGCTAATGACTATTATACCTTTACCAACCTAATGATATTTCTGGTTTCTTCTACCCTGACAACATTCCTAACAGAAACCAAGGAGTTTGTGAAGACAGAAATCTTTTGAGAGTTTTTGTGATTTTGTACATTCTATGGTCAATTTGATGGAACGGCCAAATAGGATATTTATTTATACTGGCCAACTAGGCGAACATTGTTCAAACTTCTTTTCTTTTGTTTTTCCCAAATATAAGAAGTGTTTCATTACTAATGGAATGAGGACAAGTTACACAACCCAATATCTTTGCAAGAAAGCGCCTATGAACTATCTTCTATTTCGTTGTATTCTCTTTTTCTGACCCATAATAGGTAACTTTTATTGATCTTCCAGGCTGTTTTCTTGTTTCTTGAACTTGAGCATTGATTGACATAGATATACTAGTACTTACAGGTATTTGTACAGAGGGTTGTCAACTGGTGATCGCCCCACATGTGATCAGTGTCTCAGGATACATGAAAAATTGACAGAAAAGGCTGGCTTAGGCTGCATTCTCCGTGCCCTTGCAGATACTATCAACACAGTTTGATTTTCCTTAACTTGATACAACATTGCCAGCCCTCACCCTTTGGCGGTGTCGAAAATTGCTTTTAATTTTCTCTGTGTATGTGAAATTGCTTTTCAGAGAGTGTTTGTGTTAAGCTGAGTAGACGTCTATATCTGTCACATTATATTAGAAAAAACAGGTACTGAATTTCATTGAGTTCAGGATGCTTTGAATTGCATTATTTTGAAGAACGTGCAAGTATTGTTATTTGTTTGGCTAGATTGGAAGGGACCAAAATATATACGGCTTATTTCTTTGTTCAGGATTACACACAACTTGTAGGAATTACTTTCGGACTTTAAGAAATATGATTCCCATTCAGTATAAACCTTTGTCAATAACTCAACTTGTTTTCATTTTACTATTGAACATGATTTAAGATCTAAGAAAGTATTGAGTAACTCTATAGTATTGAATGGGTCATATCAACACACAACTTATTATTATTATTAGTTCAAGAATATTCAATATTTTGAAACCACATACACCATCTTTTGAAAACTAATTAATAAAATAAAGTGCTAATTAAATCTCTTTTGAGTTGTTGAACTAAAACAACTCAAAAAAACTCAAAACGCATCCTTTACTGGCGCTCCATGAATCAGTGAGCAATGCTTTTGGCTTTCCAAGGACCTTCAGCTGTGGCAGAGGAGGTGCTGCCTGGTTTGGTGTTGAGAGGTGGCGGTTCTCACGTTTTGGCTGTCCAAAATATTGATGAAATGCATTGAGATATATGGGTAAGAAATCCTCAAATTTACAATTATCATACCTGCTGCTTGTACCACCTTGTCGGGTTCACGATAAGAGTCAAGATGCCTCCCTCCCCCTCCACAGTTCTACATTATTGACCATCCCACAGTTTCTCGAGAGTAGACCACTGGTTCGGCGTTTATAATCAAACTTTGAAATAAAGGCATATGCTTTGAAGTAAAAATCAAAGGAAAGAGTCATGAATCAGCAGTATGAGATGATCTTCATGTATGTTACAACATTCTCCCAAATGCCTCCAAGGGGCGGGAGAACCTGGACAAAAATAAAAACTTGTTAGCTTGCTGAGTACCATCTATCCTTGGATGCTTCAGAACTATATGGTTTAGTTGGACTATATAGTCCTAAAGCAGCTAGAGGAGAAAGCAAAATGTTATAATGACATTGACAAGAAACAAATGGCAAGCTCTTACATACACTTAACATCTTGAAATTCAATCCTAGCACCTCCACCATCATTCCAGAAATTCTACCAATAATCTTGAAGTTCCCATGGCACTGTGCAGGTAGTTCAGATCAATAATCTATAGAGTAATGGCTTGCCTGATGAAGCTTGTGAAACTGAAATTTGATCATCACATAGAGAAATGTATTGAACTAAGCTCTTTCCTTTCTATCTCTCAACAAGTAGACATTTCTCGATTGCTTCATCACAGAGATCAAGAGTTATCTCCACATTTCCTTCTTCATAGAATATATCAACAAAGATATTGTATATTTCTCTATCACCGACCAACCCATGTCCTCTCATCTCTTCAAAGAGTTCCCTTGCCTCCAAAATTTTCTTCTTCTTGTAAAACCCCTTTATGAGTGCATTATATGAAGTAACAGAGGGAACATATCCTTTCTCAACCATTTCTTTATATAAAAACCACGCCTCCTTCAGATTCCGTGCTTTACAATGCCCTTTTATTAAAATATTGAAGGTGTTACCATCAGGGATCACTCCTTGATTACGCATCCCCTTGTAAATTTCAGTCGTAGCATTCATATTATTTCTAATGCAATACTGCTTCATGAGAGTATTGTATGTTATTGCATTAGGCACAATGCCCTTCTCTAGCATCCACCCTAACAGCACATCACCATCTTCAAGCATTCCCAACATACAAAATCCATTCATTAGAACATTAAATGTAACAACAGTAGGTTGAAGCCCTCTAGCTAACATCTCCTGAAGAAGTTTATGAGCCTTACCAATATCTCCTAATTTACAATAGGCATCAATGATAGTGGTATAAGTGATAGTGTCAGGATTAATTCCACCCACCTCCATCTCTGCCATCAATCCTATTGCTTGTGCAATATTTCCAGCTTTGCAACTACCGTTAATAATCGAGTTATAAGTGCATACATTTAGTTGAAGGCCCTTTTTGTGCATCTCATCCAAAAGCTCATTTGCTGTATCCAGTTCTCCACGCTTACAAAGCCCATCAATCAGGGCACCGTAAGTAACAACATTTGGAGTCAGTCCCATTTGAACCATCTCATTATGAAGAGAAAACGCCTTCATCATCTCACCCGCTTTGCAATAAACATCGATTAGCATTGTATAAGCAACTCCATCAGGCTCGAAGCCTCTGCTAATCATTTCATGGAACAAATTTTGTGGTTCTATCACCTTTCCACTTTGACCAAATCCCTGGATAAGAGTTGTATAGGTTATATAATCAGGACTGATCTTCTTAGACAACATTTCGTCAAACAGTTTATTTGCAGTTTGAACATGTCCTGATTTGTAGAAACCATGTATGAGAGTGGTGTAGACTACCTTATCAGGAAGAATCTTTTGAGACATCATCTCTCTCAATACTTTTTCTGCTTCAAATGGCTTGCCAATTTTACACAAAAGTGATATTATGCTATTGTAGGTATAACTATTTGGTTTCAGTCCTTTTATTTGCATGTCATCTATAAGCTTCAATGCCTTCTTTAATTCTCCCAACTGACAATATCCATCAATCACGGTACTATAACTAACAGCATCAGGTGTAGAACTCCTATAATCCATCTGCATGAGTAACCGATGGGCTTCTTTTATTTTACCCAATTTACATAAAGCATAAATAACGATGTTATAAGATGTAGTATTCCAACTAATACCATATTCTCTAAAAAACTTAATGGCCATCCCTACTTCTTCAGAATTGTTAGCCATGCGGCTAAGAAAAAAATTACAAGAATCAACGGTGACAACTAATCCATAGCTCAACCATCTGTCCAATAGTTTTCTTGCTTCACTAAAAGAACCAAATTCAACTAGGACCTGAAAAAAGATGTCAAATGCAATGGGATTTGACCCCCAGTACTTATATGTGTATATCAGCCGGTCGGTAAATTGAGCCATTGTAACACTAACCCCCAGATTTGAGTTCAAGAAATGATCACGAACCAGCTCATGAGCCATTCTAAGATCATTTGACGCCACGGCAATGTGAATAACAATGCAACGGGCTTCTAGAGAAGGATCTCTACGAATCCGTGCCCAATCAAAGAAAGCCAAAACCAAATTATAGTCATTCTTAATGTTCATCAGTACCCAAATCAGATGATCATGCCTAAAGCTGGATTCATAAGGATTTAGAGTGCGTCGGAGGGGCTCAGAACGACGCAACTTAATTGTAGCAGTGATGTTATGGACAAGTTCAGCATCTCTAATTGTAGGCTTCTTAGGAGAATAATCAGGAAATGGTCTGGTTTGAAGCAAAAATGAGGATGGGACTCTTTGACTTTGACTCAACCATCTTATAGAGAAAAGAAATGGTAGAAAGTTACATGTAGAAGCTGAATTAGAAGAAACCTGTAAACATCGAAGCCGGGAGGAGACGGCGCACCATTTCGTGTGCAACGGTGGAACCATCGGCAAAATATTTCCCCTTGCTGACATATGAGCTCTCCCCCATGTTCGATAAGGCATTACGCAATACCTATTCATTTGGTCTTTTGCAGGAAGGCGACCGCCATGAAAGAGCCCGCCAAACAAGCAATTCTTACTGGGAAAATTGAACTGTTGAAGGAGATGAAGGGCAATTCTACCAAATGGGCCAAAAGGGAAAATAATATTTTCTTTATAAATTATATGTTTAATTTTAAATTTTTATTGCTTAAAAAAGGAATTGGGCTAAGCTTATTGGGCCGAACATAGTGCAGAGCCCAGAAGATAGAGTTGAGGCCGTAGGACATGGGCTCAATCCCTTCTTCCAACGATCTGGTAATTCACCCATCGGATTCCGACTTGACAAGAAAGAAAGAAGTGATCGATCAGTAGAAAGCTCCATTTCAATTGACTCTCTCGAAGGTACTCCTGTGCAGGTGATAGAGCCACTGTTTAGCTTCAACTGAGAGCTTCGCATTACCCGATCATGGGCACGGTTGAAGTTCTCGTGGCACAAATCCAAGGGCTGTCCAGCACCGCCGGCGATATCGCACGCCTCCATACTATTCTCAAGCAATCAGAAGAACTGCTTCACTCCGACACCGCTTGTTTACCTTCTGCATTGGCTCAACTTGATGCTTCCAAATATTCTTTAGGATATCTCTACATTCTGTAAGTTTTTATTCTCTGAATTGTTCTATCTGGATGTTGATTGTTTAGACAAATTAGGGCCTGGCCTGCCTTCTTGTATGATACACTACTATAGTACTATTAAGGATTCATTCCTATCGGTGAGAGATTTTTTTTGAGCAATCATTTCTTTTGGTATAAGTTTGAAGCGACGGAGTCCAAGAATTGGCGTTTGACGGGTTTGTATTGACGAGTGTGTGGTTGGAGCAGACATGGAAATGCATCTGATTAAATCCTTTTACCATTTTCATTTTGGAATATGTATGCAGAGGGACTGACCAATAATGTTTTCTTGAAATATATTTGCAGAGAGGCATACACATCCGTTCCAATTTCACAAGAGCAATACAGTTCAACTGCTCTGACTATTTCAAGATTTCTCTCTTCTTGCAACCCCGAGCAGATTCGTTTAGCACCTGAAAAATGCAAGTCATTCCTGAAAATTGATCGTTATTATTAATAACATGTGTGATTACTGCAATCTGGATTTTCGACTATCTTTAATCTGATTCTGCCGATTGTGCAGTCATCTCAGTTTGCAAGAGGTTGAAAGATCAAGTTGTCCTACTTGAAGCTCCAATTAGAGGGGTGGCTCCACTTCTTACTGCTATTAGAAAACTCCAGAACTCTTCAGAACATTTAACCACTATACATCCGGAGTTTCTCCTTCTTTGCTTATTAGCCAAGTGCTACAAAACTGGCAGATCTATATTGGATAATGATATTCTTGAGGTTGATCAACCAAGGGACCTGTTTCTTTATTGTTATTACGGGTGAGTTACTTTTCTTCTTCACCGTGAACTCTCAATTGATGTATTTTTCCTTCATTAGTAAAGATGCATTTGATTATCTTCATGTTTTTTGTCAACTTGGTTATTCCTTCATATGTTATTTCTCAAAGTTATATTTTTTTAATTTTTG